CTCCATTAGTGTGTAATTTTTAAATTTTGTGTGCGGTGTCTCTTGTTGCCTAGATACTTAATTATAATGCACTCTAAGTTTTATTTTTTCATATATTTTAATATATTTTTCTTAGATCTGTAACCTTGTGAGATGAGGCCTAATTTATTGTTCCTAATTTAATAAGGCCCGATTTACTGTTCCATATGAATAGCTGGTTAGAATAGTTCTCCCTTTCCTTCACTGATTTCTGAAGCTTCCTCTGTACATACACTGAGTTCTGTGGCTCTTTGCTTCTACTGTTGGACCTGCTCACCTTCCCACGTCACACATTTACCTACCATACCACAGCTCCTAAGACGAGGCACTCTCCCTTTTTCCTTCTTCTAAGTTTTCTTGATCGTTTCTCCTCCTCTTACATATTTAGGATCCATTTTCACGTTTAGTGAACACACCTGTGAGACTCATGAGGGACCATATTCCTACATGAAGAGACTTGAGTCGCATCAGTAGATGGTCTTTTTTTCCTTGTGTTGATTTAGCAACAAGACAATCCCTCATTAAGAAGAGAGTCTGAATTCTCTTGTTGGCATCCCTATCTCAGGGATATTTAATTTCCAGCTGATATCTAGCGGTTTGGTTCAAAATCCATTCATCTATCCATTTTTACAAATATTTTTTTCTGTTCTCCAACTATCCTTTCAAAAAATGCCCACCATGTGCTTTTAAAATTTATTTTTATTTATTTATTTGAAAGGCAGAGTTACAGAGAGATGGGGAGTGGGGGGGAGGGGCAGGGGGACATAGGGAGAGGGAGAGGGAGAGATCTCCCACCTGCTGGTTCACTCCCTAAATGGCCACAAACGGCTGGAGCTGGGCCCTTCTGAAGCCAGGAACCAGGAACTTCCTCTGGCTCTCCTGCGTGGGTGCAGGGTCCAAGTACCTGAGCCCTCCTCTGCTGCTTTCCCAGGCCATAGCAGAGAGCTGGGTCAGAAGCAGAACAGCTGGGACCTGAACCAGTACCCATATGGGATGCCAACACTGCAGGCTTTACCCACTATGCCACCAACCCCCCACCATGTGCCTTTTAGGTACCACGTGCTGTGCTCAATGCTGTTATATAAATATGGAAGTACTTCAGTGGCTGGCATCTGTGTGGCGGTTGACACCATTTGGGATACCCACATCTCATATTGGAATTCCTGAGTTTGAGTCTCAGCTCTGCCCTGTATTTCAGCTTCCGGCTAATGCACACCTTGAGAGGCAGCACGTGATGGCTTGAGTTCTTGTGTCCCTGCCACCCAGAGGGGAGACCCAGATTGAGTTCTGGGTTCCCAGCTTCACCTTGGCCCAACTCTGGCCGTTGCTGGCATTTGGGGAGTGAACCAGCAAAAATGGTAGATATCCCACTCTGTCTCTCAGCAAAAATATACTTCAGTTCCAATGCAAGAGAGGAACATCAGAAGCAGTCTAAGATAGCTACCATCAGGCAGGTGTTAGGGAAGCTAATGCAGAGAGCTCCTGTTACCTATTGTTAGCATGAGAATAACTTGCCAGGTCTTCAAGCTTGATAGACTCCAGTCTAACTCCAGATAGCCTGAGTTTAAATCCTATTCCTGCTGCTTGGGAATTCATTGTGTGGCCATGGACAAATTAGGTAGCAAGTCTGTGCCTCAATTTCATCATTTGTGAAATACATCATTATTCCTATTGTCTAAGGCTGATAATAAAACTCAAACAAGTTAATATAGGCAATGCACAAGAATTAGTAATATTTAGAAGCATATATGTTAATTATAATTGTCAATCCCTGTTTTCAATATGAACTTAACATTTGATTGAAACATTAGTCTCCAAAGATAATCCATTAGGAGCAGGAAGTATGAAAAATAATTCTTATACTTACTCCACTTCTATTACGTGCATCTTTATTAGTAAAAATGTATAAGTAAATAATTTATCCATGAATTACTCTGCATGTAGATATTGGAGTAAATGTTAATTTGTGTGTGTGTTAGCTGGCATGGTTCTCAAGGAAAAGCTTTAAGGTAACTGTAAGTACAAAGTCCAAGGACATTCAGAAGGAACTTGTTATTCATGGTTTATCAAGGGCTTTACGTATATTATCCCGAGAGCCAGGAAGATCCTGGGCGTTTTAGGATCTCTGTGTTCTTTATCTGCTTCTGACTCTTCCACATCCAGACAGAACTGAATGGTGAGGGCCTGGGCTTGCCAAAGTCAGCAACGTCAGAAGTCAGTCCTACCTCACTGCCGGGATGAGGCCTTTGACAGGCTCTGTAGAGTCTCAGAGAAGCTGGCTCACCGTTTGCTAGTCCAGGTTCTCATCGCACAATCAGATACAGCATGGCAGTGACACATGAAATCTAATCCATTGGAATGGAAGTTGAACGTATTGGCCAACATTTTCTTCAGTGTGCTGGTTAGTGAATTATCTCTTCTCGCTGCTTCCTTTTTCAAAACTTTCAGAGTCTTAGGAGATGGTCATACAAAAGCAGTTACCACAGAAAGCAACCTGGCCTCTCTTGTCTGCATGATTCATTTTGAGATTTTCTTACGTTAAAAAAAGCAGAAGATACTAACAAAACAGCAGCTGTTTAGCTATAAAATAGGCAAACAAGCTTCTCATGTGAGCTTATTATTGAGGGTCTCTATTTAAGGCAGTTTACAAATTCACGCAGTATTTTACTTAATGCAATCCACCTGATACGGCTTTCCAAGCCATTTAGGGAAGGCCTGGGGGATCAGGTGGGAGCTGCCCCTTTGCTGCTTTCTGAGGATTTGAAGGTTAATTCAAATAAGCAGAAAGGAAAGCCATGTTAACTAGAAATTCCATAAGCTTACTATATATTTAGCTGGAGTTGCACAAGCAGCTGCTCATTAAAAAGCAAAGAATATAACCTCAAAAGAAAGTTATCATCAATCTCTCATTGACTAGAAAAATAACACAGAGGATGCGGTGGTAATTAGGAACCTTGGGGGCATACAAATTACTAGCTTTCAATATTCTGTTCCCAGCAGTTAAAAATACCGATTTCATTTACCAAAGTTCAGTTTTCTAAATTGAGTTATTTCCTCCTTTGGTTCAGTTTTGTATTTCTTAATTTTTAAGAGACCAAGATTCAAAGGAATTGTCTTTATTTATTTGTCTTTATTCTGTATGAGCTAACCCAGCCCTGTCTTGGGCAAGTCATTCCTTCCTTCTTAGTTTCTTCATCCACAAAACAAGGGTAATCATGGCCATCTCACAAAACTGCTGTGTAAACTCATCAGCTAATGCCAGGGAAGTGTTTTTGAAGATGGAATATACTGATTCTCATTACTTGTGATATGACTATTTACATAACTTTAGCCAAACATACTAAATTTTTTTTATTTATTTTTTATTTTTTGACAGGCAGAGTGGACAGTGAGAGAGAGAGACAGAGAGAAAGGTCTTCCTTTGCCGTTGGTTCACCCTCCAATGGCCGCCGTGGCCGGTGCGCTGCGGCCGGAGCACCGTGCTGATCCGATGGCAGGAGCCAGGTGCTTTTCCTGGTCTCCCATGGGGTGCAGGGCCCAGGCACCTGGGCCATCCTCCACTGCACTCCCTGGCCACAGCAGAGAGCTGGCCTGGAAGAGGAGCAACTGGGACAGAATCCGATGCCCCGACCGGGACTAGAACCTGGTGTGCCAGCGCCGCAAGGCGGAGGATTAGCCTAGTGAGCCGCGGTGGCGGCTCTAAATGTTTTTTGTTTTGTTTTGTTTTGGTTTGGTTTTTAAGAGAATGAATAAACCTCACGTTTCTTTTGCTTATATGTATGTATATGTTATCTGTGCGTATGTGTATATGTGTGTGTATGTGTATGTGTGTATATGTGTGGTTTGGTCTTTCAAGTAAAGCAGGAATTGTGAAATGCAAATTAATTTGTAAATGAAGTATACTTTACCTGGTGAGCTTAATTGCCAAATTATTCCTACCACATATACATATAATATACATATACATACCTGTGTATCAGGAGTATTCAAAAAGTAATGGAAAATGTATATCATGGAAAAATTATGAATGGATTTCAAATTATTTTTGCACAAAGATAAACTTACCTTATTTCATTTCCCACTGTCCTTTTGAAGTACCGTCATATGCATACACATGTGTGTATGTATATACATAACTAACATGTATCTAGGATGCTCATAACAATCACTTATAAATACTGGCCAGCATGAAGAGGACAATATAAGCTTCTTGTTTGTGATTTTTTTACCTTTGGAAGATGCAGATTTTCCCTATCCTCAAACAAAACCGAAGACTATTGGGAGCATGACTCCCACATGCTACTTTCCTTATGTGGGTGCTTCCTTTGGTACTTTCGAATGAAGCGAACTTTGTCCTTTTAATCTGAAAGATTTTTCAAAAGAATTCTAGGGCTGCAAAATGTAACAGGCATAGCTTGTTAGCATTTCATCAACGTACCGAGTGTCTTGTGTGCCAGTGGTGGGTCAGTGGTTGCCCAAGTTGCCTCAGTGGCCTCAGCATCAACTGGGAACTTGTTAGGTGAGTTCTCAGACCCCGCCCAAAACGTACTGAATCAGAAGGGAGCCCAGGAATCTCTGTTTTAACAGAGACTCTAGATCATTCTGATGTTAACTGAAGTCTAGGAGCCGCTCCTCTGGAGGTTACACAGTTGAGTTAAATAGGGTGTTTGTAAACTGTCCGCACCTGTCCTTGTTGCCAGTGTTTGAACTGGCACAATCGCCCTCCTGCTACCCAAGGGTGCTTATCTACTACTGATGTGCCCGTTCCTTTGAGGCTGAGCTTGAGAAATGCTCTACATGATTACTGCTTACACCCCAGTCTCTAAGGAGGTATTAAAGTTGTCCTGGGCATAGCGGAGCCTCTCACCTGAAATCAGGTTTCCTTGGATTTCAAGCTGTAGAGGTCAGACTAGGACCCACACCTGGGCAGGTGGCTACTTAAAGACAGCAAAGGGCTCAGCCCAGCATTTGAGAGCTGCGCAATGGAAGGCAGTGGCCAGGGGAGGGGCTGCTCGTGGCTTCTTTCTGGGCTCTTAGCCCTGGGGTTCTTGTGCATGCATTTTAGCTGGGTGGAACCTTTGGATTGTGCTGCCCGGATTCTGCCTTCCCGTGTGAATGAGATCTTTGTTGCCAGGCAACATGGCTTTACTCTCACATCCAAAAGTAAGTATTTGGGACTCTGGTCTCTGCTAGGGAAGGGATGATCCAGAAACTGCCTGGTAGCATTTGTAAAGTTAGTCGGGGGAGGGTATAAATGACCATGGATACCTGGGCCTCTGGATCCAGCGAGAAATCAGGGGCAAGAATACTTCTCAGCTGGTCTAGTAGGAACAGAATCTGTTTCCTGGTCTCAGCTCTGCAGGTTGGATACGTAGTTGCCTTACATTTCCATGGCTGATGTCCTGATGCTCTCAAGTGTGGAGTGCACAGCTGGTATCCTGGGCCACTTAGGGTGTGGCAGGAGACTTAATGGGGCAGGTGGCTTGCCCTATGTCACGTGATGGGGATGGTTATCAGCCCTACTACTGTCATTCTCTAATTTAACTCCAGCGATGGGGTGACAAGTATAGAGAAAGCTCAGTCCATCACCGTCTGCTGTGGAATCAAGAGCAGACTTTCGTAGTTGGGTTTGCTAAGCTTTGGCTTTATGCACTAAGGCTGGGTAAATGGAGAGAATGACCTAAAGGGAGATGGGATTTTCATAGGTTTCCTCTGTGAGACTTTCTGTGATGGCAGCTTCCTGGAGCTCCTCTGCTTTCCCCACAGGTGCCCAGTTCCTACACAGCTACTGGCTTCTCTACTTCGAGGCAGCTCCCTTCGTGGGGATTTCCTTGGTACAGCTGTGGGCCTGGGTACCCAACGCCCCGCATGCTACTGAGCTTATTCTGGAGTTCAAGGATCATCGGAGGGGCCCCTCCAAATTCCTCCTGGGCTCTTTCCCCGTTATCTTCTCATCTTATCACTCAGAGACTGGATCTTTACTGGAGATCTACTGTTTACTAACATATTGGATGGAGGTGGTGCCTACCCTCTTGACAGAAGAAAAGATTCCATCCACTGATGTGGCCGATGTCCGCCTGAATGAGTGTTCCAGCACCCAAGGCAAGCGAGATATGGTGCTGCTGTTCATATCTTCAGCCTTCAGCCAGCCGCCTCTGTTTCACCTGCCTTACGTCCAGGAGCCCTTCATCGCTAACGTGGAACAGCTGATCCTGGGAACGCCGGGCCAGAATCCCTGGGACGTAGACCCGGGCCAGACTCCACTTCCAGCAGAGAAGCTCTGTCACCTGGTGGATCGCAAGGTGAACCTTCACAGAGCTACCTGGGGCGAGTGTATTGTCGCCCCCAAGACTTTCAGCTCCCCTCACTGTCAGGGAACCTGCCTGGCCCTGAACAGTGAGTTCCATCAGCCCAACCTTGAGTGCCACAAGGTAAGCTGGAACCTTCTGCTTTCTCTTCTGGGGCTATAACTGATGGCATTTAGTTCTCAACATTCTGGGCCTGTCTCCTTTGAGCCCAAACCACTAAGGGTAGCACTAACATAATCCAGCACTAATGTAGTCAGTCTCTTCTCCCTCGTTGCACCCTTATCCCTTTTCATCGTGGCTCATGAGCAACATCAGCTTCCTGAGGACTGTCTGAAGTGGCCACAATACGAGGACTTCTCGTTTCCCACTTAGCCCTGCCTAGTCTCCTGATACACTCAGCTGTAAGCTTGCTGCTGTAACGGCATTCGCCTTCATGTCTTTTTTTTTTCTTCATGCAGAGGGATGCACCCACCTGTCCCCAGCTCTTCCGGGCCTGTGTTCCCACCAAGGTCAGGCTCCTCTCCTTGATGGTCCAGGATGACGAACACAAGATGAGTGTGCACCATGTGAACACATCCCTGATAGAAAAGTGTGGTTGCTCTTGAGATGCCCTGGAGCCTCCTGCAGGCCCACGCATGCTTGCACTCGGGATTCTAGTTAGCTGCTGGGGTTGGTCCTCATATTGATTAGAGTCCCCTGGAGGGCGGTGGGATTTGGCTATTTCTCAAAGCATGGTAGAAAGGAAGGCATTATGGGGGTAACTCTAATACTTCTCAGTATGGGCTGAGGCCCCTTAAATTCTGTTTCTAGTCATTGTTTTCACTGGGCTGGCTAATTGTGGGTGGATGTCCATTGCTGTGTCCTAGACCCTGTGAACAGGACAGCCTTGGTGCCACTATAGGGGTTATTTAGGTGGGGAAACAGGAGCTCAAATGGAGGCTAAAACTGGATTAAATAGGGCTCTGCTTTGGACCCTTCTAAGCTGTTCCACTGCTATTGTCTCTGTGATAGGCCTGGGGCTGCTCCAAAGTGGGCATAAGCCTTGGAATGACAGCATCCTTGTCTTTGGAATAAATGAACGCTGTCCCAGGGAGCATTCTATCATGGGCTAGTCGTGGGTGTAGGGCACCAGATCTTTTACTAACCATTGGGTGCTGGTTGTCAACTGCATGGGAGGTTCCAGGAATGATGGACATAGCTCAAGACAGATCCTTGGTGGATTGATCCTTGGCCTTATGGAAGGATTAAGTCCTGTATTCAAGAAGCTTCTGCCTATGACTTCAGCTGAGTGGTGTTAGCTTTTTTTTTTTTTCACTTCAATAAAACTTGTACTGTTGTGGGTCTCTTCTGCTGAGTGTCTGTCTCTTTGTGTCATTGACTCTGAATTGGAATGAGTGAATGGATGTTGGGTTTCAACTCATTGTCAAGGATCACAGAAAAGAGAAGCACTGCAAATGTTCTTTGAAACCAATGTTGGTCCATTATAGCATTCACTCAAATGATCTCTGTAACAAGGCCTTAGAACCTAAGACCAAAATAAGATACGTGGAAGTCCTCCAGTGTGGAAGTTAATACAAAAATGGCTTGTTAGACTCTTGGGTGGTATCCCTAAGGTACCAAGCACGTGAGGGCAAGCGAGCCAGGCTCCCTCTATAATAAGTCTCTCCTGCTAACCCTCCAGTCTCTCCTGAGAATTCACTCCAGTGAGGAAAGTGTTAATCTCTCTCACAGGCTCCATGCCTCTCAACACTGTTTCACTAGGAACCAAGCTTCAGTATGAGTTCTGGTGGAGACAAACCATAGTAAGAGTTGTAAATAAGTGAATCACAGCCATTATTGCCTCTGGGTTTTTTATAAAATTTTTATTAACATAAACAGACTTCATAAGTAATTCTAAGACAACCACATCTCTCTCCCTCCCCCTCTGCCTTCCTAAACAGCCATCTTTCCTTCCTTCCTTTTTAGTTTTGGCAAAAACATTTCAATCCACTCTAATCACAGGCTTCATATTTACTTAATCTTTCCTTTGAAAAAATCATTGTGTGTCTTGGACTCTGTGTTCGTAGCCTTATCATATTTCTGAAATTTATTTCTGGGTTGGGAGAGACTGCAGCCTCCCCTTGCTTCTGGGTGTGGCCATGAGATGTTCTGTCCTGGTCAAAGTGGGAGTCTTCAGGGTTTCCAGGAAAGTGTTGGCCATAGTTCTGGGAGCTTGGTTCATAGTGATAAAACACTACATTTCTGGGGGTGACGTAATCAAGATTGTAAAGAAGGAAGCTGGGTCGGGGCGGCCAGCTTTTTCTGCAAAGAGTCAGACAGTAAACACCTTAGACTTTGAGGGTCTGACAGTCTTGGTTACAACCACTGGACTCCGGTTGTGACATACAAGCAGCCGTTGAGGAAATGGGAACTGATGAATGTAGCTGGATTCCAATAAAGTATTCATAGGCACTAAAATTTGAATTCTATAACTTTTACTTGTCACAAAGTATTGCTTGTTTCTCTTTACACTCATTTAAAGACCACTTTCTTGGTTTATGGGTCACTTATAAATGCATTGATTGTCCCTTGGGCCCTAATTTGCCAGACTCTGCCTTCCAGTGTCATTGAGTGTGTGAGCTACTGCTGGCAACAACCTTTGATTTCAGTGAGAAATTACATCCTGGCTTTTAAGGCCACTGTTAATTAGTTGACTCTTTGCTTACTTGCAGTTAAATGCATTCTTAGCTGATAAAGATCACCTTTTTTCCCCAAATAGTGAACTGCCTGAACTTTATCCACTATCCAGACATGTCTCCATTGATTTGTAAACTAGTCCACCACGTAGTAAATTCTGTGTTATAAATACTTCTTTTCCAGTCTTTCATTCCAATTCACTGATGTTTGCCCTTTCTCATATCTACACTATCAACTTAATCTAGATAGCTTTAATGTATACTTATCCAGATAGCTATAATGTATAATCTGAGAGGATGTGCTCTTTATGCTAAATTACCGTTCTCAGAAGTGGTGTCTCGGTCGGCGCCACGGCTCAACAGGCTAATCCTCCGCCTGCGGCACCGGCACACGGGGTTCTAGTCCCGCCGGGGCACTGGATTCTGTCCCAGTTGCTCCCCTTCCAGGCCTGCTCTCTGCTGTGGCCAGGGAGTGCAGTGGAGAATGGCCCAGGTCCTTGGGTCCTGCAACCGCATGGGAGACCAGGATAAGTACCTGGCTCCTGCCATTGGATCAGCACGGTGTGCCGGCCACAGTGGCCATTGGTGGGTGAACCAGCGGAAAAGGAAGACCTTTCTGTCTCTCACTGTCCACTCTGCCTGTCAAAAAAAAAGTGTCTCTATGTTCCCCAGCTGATCCAAGACTAAAGGTGAGTTCTACAAGTGATGACTTAGATTTCTTTTATTTATTTATTTTTTTAACTTTTATCAGTCCTATTATGAGGCATGATATAACCTTACATTTAATGAAAGAGGGGAAAAGATTCCAAATAAAATACATTTTGGTTAGGCCATGGTTTCTACTTACATTATTCCTGTGTGGTCCGTCCAGGTTGCTGATGTTAGTTGAAATTTGCAATGTTAACTGAGCCAACTTTTTGCCAGCAGTATATATTGCCACCCTCATTGTGTAAGTGCCACCATGTGGTTCCAGAGCATTGCTTTTTTGTCCAACACTCAAGATCCATTCAGTCCAGTGTATTCAGAACTTGTGCCTGGTCTTGAAGTCCCAGTCAGTAACTTTACCCTATATTTGAGTTAGGTGTTATTAAATACTAGCGAGTCTTGATACCAGCTGGAGCATCAAAATGGTGTTGAAATAGATGAAAAATGGTGGCTGTTGCCAATCTGTGTTTCGGATTTGTGTATATTCTAAGTCTCATGTCTCCTATCAGTGGAGAACACAAGGTGGAGGCTCTGAATATGTTTAATCTGTATGTACAGGCAGCTCCTAAAAGTTAAAGAAGCCAAGGTGGCCGGTGCTAAGTGGAGGATGTCAGAGCCTCTTCTGCAGACCTGAACTCAACAGAGAAAGCAGACTCATGGTGCCATGATGTGCCTTCCGAGGAGGGTGCTTCTCTACTTTGGACTCACTTCTCAGGGAGCAGAAGTCTGAGGGCTGAGCAGTTGTCAAACCAGCTACAGAGAAGGTGCAGGCTGTGTGAAGCAGCACTCACAGTGGCCTAGGAGGAATAAAGGTAGGAGAGTGGCACTCGGGTAAGCATAGAAAGGTCCATGGAACTGTACTATGAAGGTTGGGGTGGAGGAAGTTGAGGTTAAGTGGGCTGATAAATACTAAGGAGAGAGCTGTTCTGGGCAGAGCCCACAGCATCATGGGTATTTGTCATTGATTCCTTCGTGAAATAGGTCTTGTAAGTCACATGACTCAAGAGGCCACATCTCGATGGCGACTTGAACTAGAAAGGTAATAGAAAATCTACCAAACCTGGGCACATGCATACATACCCTGTGATCTAGCAGCTATACTCCCAGGTATATATTTTACCAAAAGATGTAGCAGTGGTATTAGCAAAAATTCCAAACTGAAGACTACCTAAATGGCCATTACTGGTTGAACAAATTGTGGCATACTCACAGGGAAGTACTATATGATGATGAGAATGTGTTACAAATGCGATGGCAGCTATACTTGGCATAGAAGGAAAGAAGCCTGACACACAGGCATATGCACCTATACAATTGTACTCTTATAGAACACAAACCCAGGTAGGGGTTGGCTTTGTGGTGTAGCAGGTTAACCTGCCTGCAATGCCATCATCCCAGATGGGTGCCAGTTCAAATCCTGGCTGCTCCACTTTTAATCCAGCTCCCTGGATTAATGCACCTGGGACAGCAGCAGAAAATGGCCCAGGTACTTGGGCCCCTGCCACCCAGGTGGGAGACCCAGGAGTACCAGGCTCCTAGCATCAACCTGGTCCAGCCCTGGCTGTTGTGGCCATTTGGGGAGTGAGCCAGCAGATGGAAGATCTTTCTTCCTGTGTTATTCTGCCTTTGAAATCAAATCAAATTAAAAAAAAAACTAGGCAAAATTAGGACAGATTCTTTGACTCCGTTTGTGTGAGGTATCTATGATGGTGAAATTCATAGATGGAAAGTAGAATGGTGGCTGCCAGGGCTAGAAGAGGGAAATGGGTGGTCGCTGTTTCATGAGTGTAGAGTTTTAACTTTATAAGACAAAAAGTTTGAGTAGATTATGGTGATGATTGTACAATAATGTGATTGTACTTTATGCTACTATACACTTAAAGATGGTCAAGGTAAATTTTATGCCGATTTTACTGCAATTAAACATTTTAGGGGCACGTACTTAGCCTACTATTACAATGTCTGTGTCCCACATCATCCAGGGGTTGTTGCAGGCATGTGGGAGATGAAGTAGGAGATGGGAGCTCGCTTGCTCTCACTCTCTATATCTCTCTCTGCCTCTCAAATAAAAATATAAAATGGCCTCTGGCACACACAATAGCAATGCTACTATCTTCAGGATAACAAAAGTTACGATCGTGGTTACCGCATGCTGGGGAAGGGGTGGGGTGAAGGGACTAGAGAGGAGTGTGAGGGGAGCTCTTAGGGTATTGGGAATGCTCCGATTCTTCCTCTGGACTGATGCCTCATGGCTGCGCTGTTTGTGACCATCGATCAAGCTGTACACATATGTGCACTTCTGTGTATACACTAGATGGTAATAGAAAGTTGGCCTGAAAAAAAAAACAAGGTTTAAAGTGAATTAAAAAAAAAACACCTGAAAATAGGTTATGCTATTAAGTGCTAACTGCATGGCACTCTTTTGCTAACTCATTGAGTCCTCCGAAAGTACAGCGAGGGAGGTGCGGACTTGCAAGAGAGAACTCAGCAGCAGCGGTTTATTGAGCTAAAAGTACTGTATACAGTCCCGGGGGGGGGGGGAGATACGGCAAATGTGTCTGTATGCATCACCATGCAAGAGTGTTTTAGAAAGGTAATGGGAAAAAGAATTGTTTATTTGGCTGCAGAAATTGCAATCCATGCATAATTTGTTCATAATATACAATTTCCATGAACTTTTTGAAGGTGCCACACACATGGATTTCAAAACTTAATATCACAATGAACTTCTTTTAATCAATTTTCCATGATCTCTTTGAAGATTCCTCAAAATGCTTTTTTTTTTTTTTTTTTTTTTTTTTTTTTGGGGGGGGGGGGGCAGAGTGAGAGAGACAGAGAGAAAGGTCTTTCTTTTCCGTTGGTTCACCCTCCAATGACCACTGCGGCCGGTGCATCGCGCTGATCCGAAGCCAGGAACCAGGTGCTTCTCCT